CTAGAATTTTTCCCAAAAACACATTTAGTACGAAAAATAAAGTAAATATTATTTGAAAGCTAAATTAAGAGCTTTTTCGCGCATGAGCGGCTAAGAAATAGATGAGAAAAACAAATTTCATAGACTGATAGTAAAACCCACATTAACTGCTCACAATTTTCTGAATTAAACTCTTATAGAAATATATATCATAGGTAAGATAGCCTACGTCGCTCCTCTTTAATTTTTCAGGCTTCCAATGCATTTAACAGATGAACAGGTGACTAATCTAAAAAAAAAAAACTAGTAGAAGCAGTAGTCAATGAAAAATCAAAGAAAAAGCGCATTGGTCCCATTGCGCCAAACAAAATAAGCGCGGTTGCTAATGGATTGATATTATCTATAGCAGAAACATTCGGAAATTTTTTCGAATGAACGAATATCGAATATTCATTCCTAATTGAACGAATGAATAGTTTAAATCACCATTTAAAACTATTCGAGTCTGAATATGGTCTTAGCGGAAATCCTGGATATTCGATCCATTTGAGGAATAGAATGATTGTGCATGATCGAATATTCGAAAGTTTGAATAACAAAAAGAGCATATTCTCGAATGTTCGACTATTCGACTCTGAAAATAGAGAATCATTAAATATTTCATTAAAACATAAATACTCGATCCCATTCATATTCGATGATTCAGCAGACATTTGAACGATTAAATATTATTCGAATCAGTTCTAAAACTATTCGAGCCCGAATCTTCAAATGTTGATAGTTTAAATATTCGACTGCTCGAAAAGTCAGGTAAATGCTTTTTTTTCAGTACACGAATGCCTCGAACTATTTGAAATGTTCAATATTTTATTCGAACACAAATAGCCAGTCTCAAAATAATTAATATTATAAACATCTACAAGGGTACCATTAAAGGAAAAATCAACTGTGAAAGAAGCTCAATCTCCACTTTAAAAATAAAAACAAGGTTTCAACTTTAGGATATTCTATATAAGAAGTGAGAAGTAGCAGGATAACCATAACAATCTGTTTATTCTGGGTAATGATGAAAACAAATTGTTTGGCGCTGGTTTACCGCTTCATTCGAGTTAAAGGT